TCGGGAAGCGTCTGGTGAACATGCTCCATCTCAAGATACCTGTGAACGCTGGTTTAAACGCTTTAAAAGGGTTGATTTCGATGTGAAAGACAAAGAACGTCCAGGTCAACCGAAAAAGTTTGAAGACCAACAATGACAAACATTTATTAGATGAAGATGCCTGTCAGACTCAAAAACAACTTGCAGAAAGATTAAACGTCGCTCAGCAAACAATTTATGATCGTTTAAAAGCAACGGGAAGGATTTTAAAGGAAGGAAAATGGGTGCCCCATCAACCGACCGAAAGACAAATGGAAAACCGAAAAGTCATCATTAAAATGTTGCTTCAACGGCACAATAGTAAGTCCTTTTTGCATCGCATTGTGACTGGCGATGAAACGTGGATTTATGTTGAGAATCCCAAACACACAAAATCATGGGTTGATGCAGGTCAACCATCAACATCGCCTGCAAGGCCAAATCGCTTCGGACAGAACAAGTCTCTGTGTTTGTTGGGATCAGGAAGGTGTGGTGTATCGTGAGCTTCTAAAAACAGGCGAAACCGTCAATACCGTTCGCTACGGACAAGAAATGATCAATTTGAACCAGGCTTTGATCGTAAAACAGCCAGAATGGGCCAGCAGACACGACAAAGTAATTTTGCTCCATGATGACGCACCATCACACACTTCAGAACCAGTTAAAGACACGTTAAACGATCTTGCCAGGGAAATATTAAGCATAAAAATATCTGTGATGTTCACACCTTCAGCCAATGTGGCATATGAAGTTTTGAAGCTTGCTGTCAATATAACAAAATAGCACACATATCAACATATGTGTAACTCCATCTACTGGAAAAAATCCGCATTAGTAACCGGTACACCTGGTACTCTATGGAAGATTTATGATACTTTTCTTGACTGTGCTAAAAACTTAATATAGATGATCTCATAAAGAAGTGAGTGCTGCACGCATCCCCACTGAGTAGCTGAGAAAAACTGAATTTCAGCCCTAACCCGTTTGGCTCAGTGGATAGAGCGTCGGCCTGCAGCCTGAAGGGTCCCAGGTTCGATTCCGGCCAAGGGCATGTACCTGGGTTGCAGGCACATCCCCAGTAGGGAGTGTGCAGGAAGCAGCTGATCGATGTTTCTCTCTCATCGCTGTTTCTAACTCTCTATCCCTCTCCCTTCCTCTCTGTAAAAAAATCAATAAAATATATTTTTTTAAAAAAACTGAATTTCAGACCAAATCAACCCCTTGTCGGGGTTTGCGCTGCTATTAAGGATGTACATGAAGATCTGAACCCCCGTTTGCTCGCATCCGGAATCCATGTTTTCAAACGTCTGTCATTTCTCTATTGCCTCTGCCCCCAGCGGTGTGGCTGGGGGTGGTGTCAAGGAATAACGGTTTTGCAGCGAGCAGAGGGTGGAGGTGGAGAGAAGCACGGGTTCTCTGGGAACAAATGAGAGCAGGTCGACCAGGCCCAAGAGCCTCACTCACAGCGCACTCCACCTGAATGGCAGCTGGAAGGCGTGGGGTGCAGGGAGGGAGTGGGGGCCCTGACGCTTCCCAGGGGGGCTGTCCTAGCCGAGTGCTTCTGCGTGAGAGCTCTCCACACTCCTGGAAAACGAGGCAGAGACCGCTGTGGCTCCGAGGACCTGCAGCCCCGCAGAACCAGGCAATAAAGTGGGAGGAACACGGTCCTGGCTGGTGTGGCTCAGTGGGTAGAGCACCCGCCCACGGACTAAGCCCAGGCCCAAGAGCCTCATTAACAGCGCACTCCACCTGAATGGCAGCTGGGAGGCGTGGGGTGCGGGGAGGGAGTGGGGGCCCTGACGCTCCCCAGGGGGGCTGTCCTAGCCGAGTGCTGTGGCGTGAGAGCTCTCCACGCTCCTGGAAAATGAGGCAGAGACCGTTTTGGCTCCGAGGACCTGCAGCCCCGCAGAACAAGGCAATAACGTGGGAGGAACACCACCCTGGCTGGTGTTGCTCAGTGGGTAGAGCACCCGCCCACGGACTAAAGGGTCCCAGGTTTGCAGCGGTTCTCAGCCTTGGCTGCACGTTAGAATGCCCTGGGAATCTTTTTAAAATCCTGATTTCTGGGCCTCATCCTCCGGAAATTGTTTCTTTGTTACTAATGTTGTGGCCCCACTCCATAACAAGGAAACAGACTTCCCAGAGGATGAGGCCCAGAAATCTATATTTTTTAAAAAAGGACGTTTGCTGAGGGAGTAAGGAAGTTAATTCTATAAGCATAAGTAGATTCAGGGGCTCCAGGTGAGGTCCAACGCCGGAATTTCCGGATTAAGCGAATAAACAATATGATTGCGGTTTCCCCCCAAGGCACGGAGCACAGGAAGCGCAGATTGAAAACCTCCGTTTCACTTCTGTTGTCCTTCAGCTGGTGTGGTGCAGTTTGACCCCCCGCCCCCCGCCCCCCCAGAGCCACCCTGCTTCCCCTGTGTCCGTGTCTTTCTTGGCAAATGCGTACAAAGGCGTGGATTGGACTGCCATTCTGAAATCAGGCTCTAACACATCCCCCCGCCCCCACCCTTCCCGGTGAATTCTTGTCGGAGCCAAATCCAAGGTTAATTTCATTCGTGCAAACGTGAGCTCCGTCCCTTCCCCCCCAGCCCAGGCTGGGCACAGCCCTATTGCTATGCTCTCCACATGCCTGCCCGTCTCCTCCCCACCCCCATTCCTGGGTCTCGCTCCCATTCCCCTGAGAGCTAACGGGGCCCCTTATTCAAGAGGTTCCCCCCTCCTTCCCACACACACCTCCCCTGGCTGTGCTGATCCGCAGGGCTCCCCCACCCCTGTTCACCGCTCAACACCCCCAGCTTGAAGCGGCTGCGTTCCCCACCCCTGACATCTGGGTCTAGTTCCTGCTGCTGGGCTGAAAGCATCTGCATTATTTATGCCACCGCCACAGGAAAATGAGGGCGGCCAGGCTGGAGCTGGGACCAGGCGAATTCCGGGGAATGTGCTAGGAACTCTAGGCAGCAGCTGCCAGGCCTCCAATTAAACCGAGCGAGGCTCCCCAAGGCCCTGCAGACCCCTGCAGACGCGGCCAGCGCGCCCACATGCAGACAAGGCTGAGGGCCCGGCTGGTGTGGCTCAGTGGTTGAGCGTGGACCTATGAACCAGGAGGTCAGGGTTCGATTCTAGGACGGGGCACAGGCCTGGGGTTTCGGGCTCCGTCCCCAGTAAGGGGGCGTGCAGGAGGCAGCCGATCCATGATTCTCTCTCATCATTGGTGTTTCTATCTCTCCCTCTCTTGTGATGGATGGATGGATGGATGGATGGATGGATGGGTGGGTGGATGGTTGGATGAAAGAATATGTGACAAATGCCATATTGCTCATAAACTGAATGACTTGTCTGGCCCTTGGCAACCCCATCAGTATCAGTGTCCTGCTCTCTTTCACTGTCTCACATTCCTATTGGTCCTGGGAGTTCCTGTGAGATTACCCGCCAAGGGGGACGCACCTGAGTGCCATCTAGACCAGGTGGAACCCAACGCTTCAGGAATATTTTTCATCAGTCAGAGGCGCCATTCGTCCCCAGCCAGGCAGCCCTAGAGCCAGCTTTTCTGCTTGTTTGTTTTGTTAATCCTCACCCGAGGATATTTTATTATTATTATATATTTTTATTGACGTCAGAGAGGAAGGGAAAGGGAGAGAGGAAATAGAAACATCAATGAGGAGAAGAGGGAATCATTCTGTAAATAATCAATAAAATATATTTTAAAAAAGAGAACATGCATCTTGATCTTTCCCTTCAATTGCTTTTTCTGCTCCTCTTTGAAGACGCTCTTTCCACTGAGCCACACCGGCCAGGGCTCAGCGATGACGCAGTGGGAATCTTCCAGGCACTGAGTGAGCGGCGGCGTGCGGCCGGCCGTCATCGGGAAGCAGTTACATACAGCCTCGCAGGTAACCAGGAGGTGCCACTGAGCCCAGCGGAGAACAATGTGAGAGCAGCACGGAGTGCCCGGCTGTGTCTCACCACCTCTCAGACGGTCCCCGGAGGAAGCCCGCCAGCGGCCGTCGGGTTGACAGTTAATTAACGTGTACTTTATGTTTATAAACGAGCCTTCCGCCTGCCGCGCTGTACGGCAGACGCTCTGCTCTTCCGTGAGAGGCTGTCGGAGCAGAGAGCGCCCTGTCTGTGATGAGCAGAGGGTGTGTGTCTAACTGGATGTCAGGCGGGGCCCTCCTTCCCTGGAAACCTCTCTCTTGTCCCAGCGGCCGAGGCTGCCTAGCCCCGAGCACACCTGTCCCAGGCCTCGGCCCTGGACCTGCTTCTGGAGGGGAGACAGCCTGGACCACATGGCTCCTCGGACGGGAGGGGGAGGGCGACATGAAATATTGCACAATTTGACAAGGATGGACCGGAACAAGGGATCAGAGAGGAAGAGAGGGAAAGATAGAAACATCAATGATGAGAATCACTGATCGGCTGCCTCCTACATGCCCCATCCTGGGGATCAAGCCCTCAACCCGGGCCTGTGCCGGGGAATTGAATAGAACAGTGACCTCCTGGTTCACAGGTCGATGCTCAACCACTGAGCCACGCAGTCAGGCTCCTATTTTTTTTTTAAATCCTCACCCAAGGATATTTTTCCCATTGATTTCTAGAGAGAGTGGAAGGGAGGAAGGAGAGGGGAGAGAGAGAGAGAGGGAGAGAGAGAGAGAGACATCGATTGGCTGCCTCCTGCACGTGTCCCTACCGGGTTAACGGAACCTGCAACCAAGGTACGTGCCCTTGACCGGGAATCGAACCCACGACTCGGTGGTTCACCAGCTGACGCTCTAACCACTGAGCCCCGGCCAGGGCTGAACAAGGATTCCTAAGGGGGAAAGAGATGCCTTCCTCTCTTTGCAACACAAAACTCAACCAATGGTGCATAACGAAGTGGGACACCAAATTGATGTCTGTTTCTCTCTCTCAAATTAATCAATACATGTTAAAAAAAATTAAAAAGTGGGAAAAGGAAAGGAACATTGGTACACAGACACAGGAAGCAGCAGCAACAAAGCGTTCTCTCCTGGATCCTTCAGCGAGGGCGTGGTCTGCTGACACCTTTAATTTCAGACTTCTAGCCTCTGGAAATGCCAGAGCGTGTGTTTCTGTTGTTCTAAGCGGTGCATTGTCCTGGCAGCCCTAGGAGGTGACTCCGGCCCCTGTTCCAGCATGGCATGCACACTTCGGCTGGTGTCTGGTTTTCTTGCCTTAACCCAGGGAGTGGGGAGCCTTTTTTTCCCGGCCAAGGGTCATCTGAATATTTATTTACTTAAATCTATGTTTCTTTTGATTTCAGAGAGAGGACGAAAGACAGAGAGAAACATCCATGATGAGAGAGAATCCCTGATTGGCTGCCTCCTGCACGCCCCCGACGGGGGATCAAGCCCTTAACCCAGGCATGTGCTCTGACCGGATTGGAACCAGGGACTTCCTGGTCTCTAGCCTGACCCTCAACCACTGAGCCACACCGGCCGGGCCCTTTGGGTATTTCTAACACCATTCACAGGCCGCACACATGTATCAACTGAAAAACTAGCCTGCTGTGTTTGGTCCACATTCCATTAACTCGCCCACAGACCAAATGCTTTCTTGGGCCTGACCCGGCCCGCGGGCCGGACGTCCCCCACCCCTGCCGTCACAGAAAGCAGTGGACCTCCCGGGAGGCGGAGGGAGGCAGGCAGCCTAGAACAGGGAGGCGGAGGACTCACCACGGGGGTGCGGCCGGTGCTGTGCAGGTAGTAGAGCAGGCCCTTGGCGTGGTAGATGGTTGGCTGGAGCTGCGCGCTGGGCGCCAGCCACTGCCGGTTCAGGTCCTCCCCCCGCAGGGAGCATCTGTGGCTGCGGGGACAAACAAAGACGCATTTAGGAGAAAATCACTTGAGAAAATTACCGTCAACAAGGCCCGCAATTAAACCGAGGAAGCCAGCTTCCCTCGGGCTCCTGCCCAGTTGCCATCCATTGTAGAAGGTCCTTCGATTTCCGGAAGTGTCCTGATTACTCTCACAGCCCACTAAAGGCCCAGACACCCAGTTTAACTGGGTATTGGGTCATCACATTTGTTTAAAATATATTTTTATTGATGTCAGAGAGGAAGGGGAGGGAGGGAGGGAGAGAGAGAAACATCCGTTTTGGGAGAGAATCACGGATCGGCTGCCTCCTGCACGCCCCCTATTGGAGATCGAGCCCGCAACCTGGGAATGTGCCCTGGCAAGGAATCGAACCCGGACCCATCAGTTCACAGGCT